AGCGGCCGGCTCCGACAGCTGAGGGCGGCCCGGGACCCGGGACGGCGTTTCCCGGCCGGGGGGGAAGCAGGGAAAGGGGCCCCCGGCCCCCCCGAGGCTGGGGGAGGGAGCTGGAGCTTAATAAAAACCGTCTGAAAACGCCAAAGCGCGGTGCTGCCCCTTCCCTGCTCGTCCTAAAAAGGTGCTTCTCAGAGGCTGCAGGGTCCTTGATTTTATTTTCCATAAGATGAACCACGTCAGCCACGTTTCTGAAGCATCTTTTAATCGGAGATAAGAGTAAACAACCGTATAAAATGATAACAACTCAAGAAGTTTCCAAAATTCTGCTCATGATTGACACACAGGTCCTCCATTGCCCCCAAGTACCATTGAGTTTAAAAAAAAAAAAAATAAAATAAAATAAAAATTAAAGTCTATGGTGTGGCTGCCTTTCCAGCCCTGCGATTTCTCCACACAGCTGCAAATCAGAGCAGCACCATTCACTTCTGTCATGGAGAACAGACAAGCAGGACCAAAAACACCTTATTTTGTGAAAAGTTAAACACAGCCCACCAGTACTGGTCCTCCCTCAAGTCCTAGCTAAGCCAACTGGATCCAGTCGGTCTAGAAACATCTTCAAAACCCCACCTTGCAACAGAAAAAAAAAAAAAAAAAAAATTAAAAGGTATGTATTGTGAGAGTTGTCTCAGGGGCAATAAACAACCCCCCTCCCCCGTTTCAGAAGGCTGTAGTCAAGACTTGCAGCACCAAAATAGGCAGCAAATGCTGGCCTGGCCCCTCGTGACAGCAGAGATGAAAGCTATAAGCTCCTTAGCATATAGCACCCCGATGGCAAGCGAGAACAACGTTTCTGTTGTAGCACAGTCCAATTCAAAGCTTGGCTGTAGTCCTCAGCAGGACTGAGAAAGAGAGTCTCTGCTACAGCCAGGGTAGCTTGGACATGGACCCACGGGACCCTGCGTTCTCCATGCTCTTTAAGTGGCTTCTGGAGTGCATCGAGGAGATCTGCTGACCCTGCACTGGAGCAAACCGTCACTGAAATGGCACCGGAACCCCCCCGCAGTCGGCAGCCAGCCTAGGCCAAACTTGTTCCACCTTGAGTTGATCCTAGTAAAAACCAGTTTGTCACAAACAAAGATACCTCTGCAAATATCGACAGGACTAAGATTTAAGTACAAAATGGCTTAAAGTGAAATCTGCAGCTTTGTTTTTGCCCTAGTCATTGGCTTCATCCCTTCTGTTGTGCAAAGCCTCTGACTGGTCTGGATTGTGCCCATTTCAGATTTGCTGGAGGTTTCTGGGGAAGGGGTATCTTGATTAAAGATCACTTGGGAATGTGGAGCTCAACACATCTAGATATTTAAAGATAAGTTCGTGTTTGCTCAAGGCCAACGCACAGCCTTACTCCTCTTCTGTCCACTGGCCGCTAGCCACGTGGCCATTGATGCGGTTGGAGCCGTTACTCGAAGTGCTGAAAACTCCTTTTGTGCTGTTGGAAGTCACGTCCTCCTCTTCAGAGCTGCTCTCTACATCACTGCGGTCATCTTTGGATACCTAAACATTTCAAATGAAATTTGGTAGTGAAAAAGGGAGAAGGGAAGTTGAAAAATGCACAGAAAACAGTAGTTAGGTTGTGTCCCTGTGATTAACCAGTTACATTTACTTTTACGTTTGATCCCGAATCACTTCAAGCTCACAAGGAGGAGCCTGCCATCACACACAGAACACAAGACACTGAAAATTTGGAAATAAAGAATTCCATTTTCCAAATACTCTGTGAAAGCACTGTGCTTTTTTTTTTTGCTCTCACCAGATCAGAGGACGCTACGGATATTATGTTGTTCTTGCCTTCCCAGAGCTGCATTCTAGATTGGTTAAAGGCCACTTTTCCAAACAACAAATTGATTTTGAATCCAAAAAACTTCTCACACCATAATCATCGGTGGTACAATGACAAAAAACCATGCATATATCAGTTTTGGAGAGAACATTTTGTCCTACAGGGAATGGCTTTGATATTTTAAAAATTAACTAGCTATATTATCACGTTACTGTTTGCACAAAGTGCCTCCCATTTTCACAGCTTGTGGTTCATAGGTGAGAACTCATTTACAAGCAAAAGCCAACATGACAATGGGCTGTAGAACAAATACAGCTATCTAATCCAGCAAACGCCCGTTCGGGAACAGAAGGAGCATCTCAGCCCAGAGATCTAGATCTGCTTTACAGTTATGCCTTTAGTTAAAAGACTGGCTGCAAATCCAGCTGAATTTGATTTGCACATGGTATTTTTGAACCTTGTGACTACTTTGCTGCCGGCCGCTCCGAGTGCCGCAGGAGGGCACTGTACCAGCACCGCAGAGCCAACGGCCCCAGAAGGCAAAGGGAAGAGATCCTAAGCCCGGCCCTAACTGCAAACAAGCACCTTGGTTGGTGGCGGGGTGCCAGAGCCATAAACTCACCAGCGCTGAGCAGTGACTGGGTGAATGGCCCGTGCTTTGCATACCCCAAGGCAGGCTCTCCACACTTCTGTAACTAATAGCCCTCATTTACTTAATGTGCAAGCACTTCGCGGCTAGCACCTTTCTAAGGATTTCAGGATTTCATTCTCCTCTTGCTTGCTTAGAGTCAGGGTTAGGGCTTTCTCCCAGCACCAGGCAGGAAGTTTTTGAACTCGAGGGAAGATCTGGCAGAAAGCCAGGTAAAGTTAATGATCTCCAGGATTGGTTTTGAGAGGCCTGTTGGATGTACTGGCTTCTGTCTGCTGCCAGAACTTTTGGTATCTTTCCCTCCTGCTATGTTGGAAGTTCAAAGGGTCACTGGAAGGAAGCAGAAATCCCCTGAGATTTATCTCATTATTTGGGGGACAAGTGACTGTTACACTCCTTTTTGCAAAAAGCGTTCCATTTCTCCCGTCCTCTTCCACTCAGCACAGTGTTAATGAGCGCTAAAGACAGATAGGGAGTCTCTGTGGGCGTATAAAAGCAGAAAGGTGAAGGTCATGCAGCCAGCTGACAGCAGATAAGAACAAACCCCAGGACACTGCTTTGACCTTTGGAAAAAACTGCATTTTAGCATACTGTCAGAACCAGCACTGTACCAACCAGGGAGAGAAACGCTTTAAGAGAAGGTACTGCCACCTAAAGCCCCAAGACCACAGCTTTGCTTGGTCTTAGCCTCGAAACAGACACAGATGTGTTTCAGTGAACAAAGAGAAGCACAGATCACACTTACATGCAAAGGATGAAACTGTCCAGCTCCAATCTGGCACAGAGAAAAGGAGAAAAGAATGAAGAGGACAGAGCTTAGAGTCCTTTCTCTGGCTAGGTCACCTGGACAGGAAAGAACCAAGGAAAGGAAAAAGATGTAGACCTCAGGATACAGAAACAGCTGCACAGGCAGAAAATCAGACATTTGCAGTAGCAGCTGTGGGGAACAGATGAGAAGATCATGTGCATACTCTGAAACATGCCTTCCCCTGACAATCACTGCCACAGACAACTATGATATAAATACTTTTCAAGGTTACATTCCATGTGTAGGGGCAGCTAAGAAGTCAAACACAAAAAGAGCCGTGAGAGAAACTCGGATCAGAATACCAAAACTCTGATTTAAAAAAAAAAAAAAAAGCACTTGTGCTATGAAAGCAGCTGTTGCTCTCTGCTAGCTGCAAAGGAAGAGGCTTCTCTTGATGGGTAGGCTGGGTGTCAAATTAGTTCCTAGATTGGCTTGCCCTGCCTCATGCTACTTCAGTTGGAACTACACCTTTTTGCTTGGCAACCGAGGTTGCAGCCAAAAGGCAGCACTGTTCACTCTTAGGGCAATAGCTGTTGCTAACCAGCTGCTGTAGTTCCACCCTCCCTCTCCCTAAGACTCTGGACACAAATTAAAGTTGGAATACTCGGGGCTGAAGCTAGACCACACCCCCTTAGCCCAGTGACAACCAGCAAACTCCACTGCATTTCCGATAACCCTCTCCCCTCTGCATGCTGCAGCTCAATGCCTGGCCTGCACTGACAGCCAGAAGCCTGTGTTAGTGCTGACAAGTGGAAGATGCGTAACCCTCATCACATCCCAAGAACCAGCTGAAGTTGGAAAGTTAGGAAACATCCTATATGACTGTTCAAAAAAAAAAAAAAAAAAAAAAAAAGAGCTACTACCAGCTTAAGCTCCAAAGTACACAACAGGTCTGTCATCATCAGTATTATTACAACATCTGAACATACTGGGAAATGGTGTTATCTCCCTGCATGATCAGAACAAAGAGGAAAGCATCCCTG